CATTTCCACACACTAGTATTGCCTAAGTGCAATCTTGAAGAGACCTAACACAAGTTCTAGAGTGAGATGAACATGGAAGATGCAATGCACACAAAAATGAAACGGGATCGAAAATAGTGTTCGACCATGGCTCAAAAGCTCACGGGTTCATTTTGTCTATAAAATTAGCAAGCCTCATAAAAGTAATCTCAAATGTGCTAATCACGACTAACAAGTAAGTCATACAATCGTTCATGCTATGGTGTTTATGWMATTGAAAATCAAGAAAATCGTCACTCATGCAATTCATTTAACAAATGCCCAAAATCAAGCCAAAAGTTCAAAAAAATTAGCCCTTTCTAACACACTCTTGCACATTAAAAATCAAGAATTTCCCATTTAAAAAGAACAATAATTCCCTCCCCACACTTGAACCATATATTGTCCTCAATGTATGCATTCATTGGCATAGTCTAAAACATTAAAAAGCAAAGGGAACTAGAAAACTCCCCTGAATATGTAGACTTGTGCCCAATACACGGTCCAAGCGGGTGGTAAAAGCCTCTTTGTAATCGCGGGGGGGGGGTGTTGAACGTCAATACTCACAAGAATGCCAACCTGGGAAAGCAACTCATCAATCTCGAAAGACAACTAAAACTAAAACTAACTAATACTAGAACGGAAAATAAAGCAATAAAAATTGGGTTGCCTCCCAATCAGCGCCTTTCTTTAATGTCTTTGGCTAGACACTACCGAAACTAACTAACAACGGGCGGTGGCTCAAGAGCCATAACATCAATGTCCGTAGACTGAAAACCTTCATAAAAAGGTTTCAGTCTATGCCCGTTCACCTTAAACGACTTACACGTTTTCGGGCTTTCAATATCGACTGCTCCATGAGCATAAACCTTAACAACTATAAAAGGACCAACCCACCTTGATCTAAGCTTACCGGAAAATAGTTTTAGGCGTGAATGAAAAAGTAAAACCTTTTGCCCGACCACAAACTCTTTCTGGGAGATTAGCTTGTCGTGAAAAGCTTTGGTCCGCTCTTTGTAAATCTTGGAGCTCTCATATGCATCATTTCTGATTTCCTCCAATTCTTGCAACTGCAACTTCCTTTGAACTCCCGCATCATCTAGCCRCATATTACATTTCTTGACAGCCCAATAAGACCTGTGCTCTAATTCAACAGGCAGATGACATGGTTTACCATAAACTAACCAAAAAGGGGACATACCTATAGGTGTCTTGTAGGCCGTACGGTAGGCCCACAAAGCATCGTTCAAA